CAGGTTGGTACAACCATATCAGGCTGTGATTGCAGACCAACATTACCCAAAAGTATGTTCAGAACAGTCATCCAAACAAGTACTAAAATCTTGCACTATATACATTTAGTTAGACAATTTTAGTGAAATAATAATCTATTTTTACTAACAGCTTTGTGGAAAAAAAAATTATGAAAAAAAAAATAACTTGAGTTTATATTTGTTGAGACACAAATAAAGTCTCACATCTATAAATTGTGAAGAAAAATAAAGGTTTATAAAACACATATAGTTTCCATCAGTACAACGCCTTTTAGGAGATGACAAAAAGCAAAATTACAAAGATTTACGTCCAAAGTGGACAATATTATACTAGTTTGAAAACATGTGTGTGAACCTAAGAATGTGTTTGGATGAGAAATTTAAATGGAGTAATTTATTTATTTGAAGAATTTCAAATTCTTTGAGGTGAAATACCTTGTTTGGATGAAGAATTTATAAAGAATTTGAAATTCAAGTATTTGTGAAATTCTTTAAATAGTAGAATTTTTCTCCCAATAAAGTAAGAATTTGAAATTTCTCATTTTTTTTCTTCTTATTTTACTTATATATTTTTATCTTATCTCTTATTTCTTCATGTTTTTAATTATTGAATATTCAAAAATATTTTTAAAATTATTAAATATTATCTAATATTAATTTTTAAAATTATTAAATATTTAAAAATTAGCTAATATTTATTTTTATAAAATTTAATTTAAAAATCTCAACATATAAATATATTTTTAAAATCAATTTTACTATGATGAAATCAAATTATCATATCCAACCTAACAATTTAAAATTTGAGAAATTTGAATTGACTTATCCAAACAAAATATTTTAGGAATGATAGAAATTGAAATCAAAGTAATTCAAATACTAAGAATTTAAAATTTCAAATCCAAACACACCAAAAGTGTCCAATAATATTAATGCAGAAAGGGCATATATGAAATTTTGAATTTTATGGGGAATAGCATAAAATTTTCAGTGAATAAAAACATTATAAAAAATATATAAAAAATGCAGAAACTCACCCAGTTGCCTCATGACCTAGAACTCTTGGAAAAATGGCAAGAGGGTCCTTCAAAACTAGGCATGGCAACAGGGCAGGGTGGGGGCGGGTTTTATAGTCCTCGTCCCCGCCCTCGCTCCCGATACCCGTTGGGAGTAAAATTTGGGTATCCATCTCCGTCCCTGGCAGGGTTCAAGTTTCTCCGCCCCACTCCTACCCCCGCTCCTAGACTTTAAAAAAAAAAAAGTATATTTTTTATTTCTAATAAATATGAAAAAATTAAAAAATAAAAAAAAGTAAGATAATACAAATTTTTACATATAAAGATTTCTAAGTTTAGTTTATATATATATAAAATAATTTTTTAATTATATTATTAAGCAGGGTGAGGGCAAGGACTGAGCAGGTATTAATATCTCTGCTCGCGCCTGCGCCTCCGATTTTATCAATCGGAAAAAACCTAAATCCGAACCCGAACCTTATCAACGTAAGTTTTCCCCGTCCAAATTGGGACGAGTTTGGGCGGGTATCCACGGAAGCGAGTTAGATTGCCATGCTTATTCAAAATATAGAAAAAGGCATATAAAAAACCATTCAAAAGGTATCACTAATATAAAATTCCATGAAAACAAAAAGTAAGAATAATAAATAAGAACTTTAAAGACCAACACAAAATAATTAATAAGTAATGATAAACCTGGATGTCCCGAAAAGTGATGTCACTGTGGTAGAGAGAGGAACATATAATACGAATCCACACCTCACGAGGCATTGGTGACGCCACAATGATCTCTTCAATAACCAATGGCTCACCACCTCTTCTAGCAACTGCCGTTACAATTTGGCAACCACTCGTGTTACTTAAACCTCAGTTAACAATTAATACTAAGAAATAGTAAATATTAAAAAATAAAAACATGTTTTGATGAAAATTACATGACACACCTTTACATATGTACCGCCTCGGTCATTATCTGATATGATTTCCCAGGGGATTCTTAAAGAAGATTCGAGAATGATCATACTTAGGGAGCATTTATTGAAATCCACAAAGCCTCTCTGTCGAGTGGAGATATGCCTCTAGAGAAGAGGGGTAGACTAGGAACCCGAGATGCCTTACATGCAAATTTCGAGACGTTGTTACTAAGACAATAGTTCATCGAGAGTCACAGGGCGAGGCCTTTAATAGTGGTAGTCATATCAAAGATAAAATCCCATCATTAATAACCAAATATTCCCAAATAAAAATCTTCATGAAAATCCCCACGCTCACGGGGCCCATAAGGCCCATAAACAAGAAAGTATAAGACCTCAAACCCTAGAGCTAAGAGGGCAGATGACTTACTCTCGAATGCTCTGGCTTAGGAGGATTGACCTAGGAGAAAAACCTTAGACGTCCCCTTGGCAGGAACATTTTGGCGCCCACCGTGGGGTCAGGAAAAAACTCTTCCTACACCTCAAGGAACAAACTCGAGAAAGAAACCAAGAAGTTTAAAATAAATGGCGAGAGGCAGCACACCGAATCATGACGCCCAAAACCCTACTATGGAGGAGATGATGGCACTGATCAATGGCTTAAGAGAAGAGAATGCGCGGTCCAAGGAAAGGGAGGAGGCCATTCAGCAAGAGAATGATGAAATTAGACGGCTGATGAGATGTAGGCTATGATAGTAGCCAATTTCAGACCGGTGGAGGACAATTTGACGACAGAAGTCCCAAGGGACTTTAGACCCTTCTCAGAAGCCATAGAGGCCAAGGCCATTCCACAAGACCATCAGGTTCCACAGGTGGAACCTTTTTATGGAACCCAAGATCCTAGTCAACATTTAACAGATTTTCGGGCTTAGATGTTGATTTGCGGAGGAAGCATGGAAATCTGTTGCAAATTATTCATGGGAACACTAAAAAAGGCAGCTTTAGATTAGTTAGTGGTCTTCCTGACCGATCAATCACTGACTTTGATGTTTTTAATCGGTTATTCATGGCGCAGTTTGCGGCGAACAAGAGGAAACCTCCGATTACATTGGATTTATTTGATCTCAAGCAACAACGGGGGGAGTCATTGAAGGATTTTCTACAAAGGTTTAATGAAGTGGCTTTGAGAATAACATCTCTAGATGAGAAAATGGCAGTCATAGCCTTCTAGAAGGGCTTGAGGTCAAGTGATTTTGATGTATCCCTATAAAAGATGAATTGTCAAACGATGTCAGAAGTAAGAGCTTTCGCCCTGAGTCACATAAAAATGAAGGAAGGACAAATCAGTAAAAGAGCAGCAAAAAGTTAAGAAGTGATAGTTGGCAACAAGGAGGACAATAAACACCTCCATGTATGCTCGGATTGGAGAAAACGAAGGGATTGTTATAGTGAAAAGGAGGGAAATCCTAGACAGGTAGAGTACGGAGGTCGATGAAAAGGAGACTGGGTACGAAATAACAAGCAAGAAATATTTATTACACTCACCGTTTCAAGGAGACAGATCTTTCATGACATAAATAGTGCGTCATTTTTTGAATTTCCTACCATAATCGATCGTCAACTAGGTCCTTTTAAAATCGATTGGTGTGAATTTCATAGAACTCACAGACACACTACCGAGAATTATTTTGTCCTAGGAAGACAGATTGAGTGCTTGATTAAGGAGGAGCATTTAAAAAAGTTTATCATTAAAAAAGATGAAGGTGGCTCATTGGAGCGAAGACATAGGCACGGAGGAGACAGTAGGAGGAATGAAAGACCCAAAGAAAGATCTCTTCCTAAGGGTCTCTCGGCAAAAGGATCAGAAGTCCATCAATAAGCTATCCATGGAGATTTCAACACCATAGCAGGAGGATTCGGTGGGGAGGCACCACGTCAGCAGCTCGAAAAAGGTACGGCTGCTCGGTGTTAACCATCTTGGAAGTGAGACAACCATGTTGGCCCAACATTACATTTTCAGATTCTGATTATGAGGGGGTGTCTCCCCATGCAGACGACCCCATCGTTGTTTTTGTAATTGTTATAGGGTACAACGTGAAACATGTGTTGATAGATCAAAGAAGTTTCGCTGACATTTTGTTCTAGGAAGCCTTTGTTGGAATGAAAAATACCCACTGACCAACTTATGCCATACGCAGAAACTTTAGTAGGTTTTGCGGGCGATCAAGTGACGGCTAGAGGATATGTCGACTTGGAGACCACGTTCGGATAAGGCACCCATATGAAGATAGTTACCATCCGCTATTTGGTGGTAAACGCCCAATCATCTTACAACATTTTGATCGGGCGACCCACGTTGAACAAGTTGGGAGCCGTAGTATCAACATCGCATCTAAAAGTAAAATACCCTTTACCCAACGACGGTGTCGGCATCCTTCGAGTAGATCAAAAGGTCGCGAGAAAAGGTTATGAAGATAATTTGAAAATGAGAAAATACCTGTATGCAACGCAGGTAGAGCAGGAAGTTCAATCCATTGAGTTAGATCCGAGAGTGGTCCACTTTCACAATCGTCTTGCTTCAGCCGAGGATGTAAAGGAGATAAGCTTAGCAAAAGGAAAAATTGTTAAGATCGGGATTTCACTGACCAAGGAAGATGAGGAGGAACTAGTGGCTATGTTAAGAAATAACAGATTGGCCTTTGCATGGAGTGCTAATGACATGCTTGGCATAAACCTCGATTTCCTGTGTCACCAACTTATGGTGGATCCAAAGGAAAAAGCTATAATCCAGAAAAGGCAAAAATTGAGAGAAGAAAAAAGGAGAGCTATAGCCGAGGAAACAATGAAACTGGTGATAGCTGGTCATATCCAGGAAATCTAATACCCAATGTGGCTAGCAAATGTGGTGATGGTACGAAAAAATAATGGAAAATAGAGAATGTGCACAGACTTCACTGACTTGAATAAGGCTTGTCCGAAAGATTCATACCCACTACCCAACATAGACTGCTTAGTAGATGGCGCGTCAGGATATAAGTTATTAAGTTTCATGGACGCATACTTGGGGTACAACCAGATTCGAATGCACCCAACCGACGAAGATAAAACAACATTCATAGTCGATCAAGCCAAATATTGTTATAAGGTTATGCCCGTTGGATTGAAGAATGCTGGAGTGACATACCAAAGGCTTATGGATAAGGTCCTGGCAAGCCAGCTAGGCAGGAATGTGGAAGCCTATATGGACGATATGGTGGTGAAATCGGTAAGTGTAACTTGGAATTTTGCCGATCTCCATGAATTGTTTAAGACTATCGGTCTATACCAGCTCAAATTGAACCTTGCCAAATGCTCATTCGGAGTTTAAGCGGGGAAGTTCCTCGATTTCTTATTGACTCATCGTGGTATTGAAGCAAATCCTGATAAATGCTTGGCGATAGTTAATATGAGAAGCCCAACAAAAGTGAAAGAGGTTCAACAACTGGCTGGGAGAATGGCTTCACTTTCGCGATTTCTCTCAAAGGCGGCCGAAAAATCATTATCACTCTTCCAATGTTTAAGAAAAAATGATCTTTCTCTTGGATAGATGATTGTGAAAAAGCGTTTGAAGAGCTCAAGAAGTCCCTCGCTTCGCCACTAATTTTAACTAAACCTCGTACAAATCTCCCCCTATTAGTCTACCTATCAGCATCGGATAGTGTTGTCGGTGCTGTTCTAGTACAAGAACAAGGGGGTTCCTAGACGCCTGTTTACTTTATAAGTAGAGTATTATAAAGAGCGGAGGCTCGCTATCAAAAGATTGAGAAGTTGGCTTTCACCATACTAGTTACTACAAGAAAGCTTAGGCACTACTTCCAAAGCTATGAGGTGATAATCTAAACTGATTATCCGATTCGACAGGTTTTGCAAAAACCCGACTTGGCAAGAAGAATGATGAAGTGGTCTATTGAACTATTCGAGTTTGTAATAAATACGAGCGGAGGGGAGCCATTAAAGCTCGGAATTGGCAGATTTCCTAGTGGAACTGACTCCACCTGTTGAGGAGAACAGTACTAGAGAGATCCTATGGATCTTATCAGTGGACGACGCCTCAAATTTAGGAGGCAGTGAGGCCGAGATTGTTCTGGAAGGTCCAAGAGGTATATTACTAGAACAATCACTATGTTTTGAGTTTTGGGCAAGTAACAATCAGGCATAATATGAAGCATTGTTGGCAGGGATGATTTTGGCAAAGGAGATGGGGGCAACAAGCTTATCAGCTCAGAGTGATTTACAATTAGTAATGGGACAGGTGGTGGGAAATTTCCAAGCAAAAGATCCACAATTAGCTAAGTACCTAGAAAAGGTAAAACTTATTTCGGTTGATTTCACTAAATTCTCCTTAAGTCATGTACCCAGGGAACAAAACTCACGAGCATACCTACTCTCCAACCTGGCTAGTACGAAGAGACCAGGCGCTACACACTCGGTCATCCAAGAGGTTTTGTCTCAACCAAGCATCAATGGACCATCAGTGGAAGTTCTCGTCATTCAAGAGGAAAGGGAATCGTGGATGAAACCTTTTTTCATGTATTTAACGCAGGGCACATTACCAGAGTATAAGAAGGAAGCGTCACTAATAATGAGGGAGGCAGTAAGATTCATAATTATTTCGGAAAGACTATATCGAAGGGGTTTTAGTACTCCCCTTCTAAGGTGCTAGAAAATATCACAAGCCCAAAGAGTAATGGAGAAGATTCATAGTGGTATGTGCGGAAGCCACATAGGAGGCTGATCTTTGGTGTACAAGGTGATCCGAGCAGGGTATTTTTGGCCGACATTAAGAAATGATTGTATCAATTGGGTTAGGAAGTGTGATGGATGTCAAAGACATGCAACACAACATCATTCACCTACTGAGAGACTCTACTCAATCATGTCTCCTTGGCCTTTCAACAAATGGGGTATTGACATTTTAGGCCCTTTTTCTGATTGCAGTGCGTCAATTAAATTTTTTGATCATGGCAGTGGATTACTTTAGCAAATGGATCGAAGCAGAACCAGTAGCAACTATCTTGGCAGAAAAGGTTAGAACTTTTTTATGGAAAAATGTCATATGTCGATATGGAGTTCCACAGGTGTTGGTATTAGATAATGGGACTCAATTCACAAGCGAAAGGGTTCAAAACTTCTATCACAAAATCAGCATCCGGATGATGTTCACTTCCGTTGAACATCCACAATCCAATGGGCAGGCAGAGTCAGCAAATAAGGTGGTATTATCGGGGCTAAGGAAGCGGGTCAAGGACTCGGGCTTGTAGACCCCTAAAATTGTCCGGGTCGGAAATAAAGCTTGAAGACTCTTGAGGACTGAAGGAAAGTCAGCCAGAAGGACTCATGGAAGGCCCTAGGAGGATTCTCTGTAGGTCTAGAGGTCTTGTAATAGCTCAAAATAAGGAAGTGGAGGGAATGAAGCCCAATACGGCCTCCCAAAAGTTCAGTACGGCCGTATTGAACATTTTGAACTACAATACGGCCGCACTGAACTCAATACGGCCG